GAGAATTGACTCACTGCCAAGGAATTCTAAAAAAAGGCTCTTTCCCTCTCTGGATTTATGGGCTGGGGAAGAAGAAAGGGCAGGTCTTCTAGCAGTGGAAGGATACTGAGTCAAAGGGGAGAAGTGTCTCAACAAAGGCCCCTGATAAAAAGGCCGCCATAGGAAGGTGTTGGGTTAGGAATGCTGATATGCATATGAGCATGGCTCTTCTAAGAGTCCTAAGTCCGTGACGGCAACACACGCTAGAAAATTGATAAATTGGCTATGCACCAAGGTGTGAAGAGGTGATATGGTTTGGATGTTTGTCACCTCCAGATCTCATGTTGAAAGTGACTCCCAATTTTGGAGATGGGGCCTGCCTGGTGGGTGGTGATTGTTTGATGGGGGCAGAACTCACATGAATGATTTAGCACCATCCCCTTGGTAATAAGTGAGTTCACACTCCAAGTTCACACCACATCTGGTTGTTCTCTGCTCCCAGTCTTGCCATATGATGGGACTGCTTCTGCTTTGTGCTTTGTCTTCCAACATGATTATAAGCTTCCTGAAGCCCTCACCAGAAGCCAAGCAGATGTTGGTGCCATGCTTGTATAGCCTGAAGAACCATGAGCCAATTAAACTTCTTTTCTTAATAAATTATCCAGCCTCAGGTATTTCTTTATAGTGATACAAGAACGAATTAATACAGGAGAGCAGCTTCTCTCCATTAAGCCTGCTAGACAAAGCCTTATAATTGGCTGTGTTCAGACAGGAAGGATAACAGATAGAGTTTGGTTTGGAAGTCAGACTCCTCAGTGAATGAAACTTACAATAAATTTCAAAGTAAATTCAATAAAGCTAAAATGTATAGAACTAAAAGGAGAAATTGGCATATCATACTTAGAGACTTTAATATACTTTTTTTCTATAGTTGATAGAGCAAATATATAAAACATATCAGTAAGGGTGTACAGTTGACCCTTGAACAACATTGTTTTGAACTTGTGCAGATCCACTTATACGAGGATTTTCTTCCAACTTTGCCACCCTGAAACAGCAAGATAAACCCCTCTTCTTCCTTCTCCTCCTCAGTCTACCCAATATTAAGGTGATGAGGAGGGAGACCTTTATGATGATCCACTTAATGAATAGTAAATATGTTTTCTCTTTCTTATGATTTTAATAACATTTCTTATTCTCTAGCTTTCTTTATTGTAAGAATACAGCATATTTTATATACCTGTCATGAAAAATATTTGTTAATCAACTCTTTATGTTATTGGTAATGTCTCTGGTCAACAGTAGGCTATCAGTAGTTAAATTTGGGGGGAACCAAAAGATACATGTAGATTTTCAAATGCATGGGGGGTCCACACCCCTAACCTTTACATTGTTCAAGGATCATCTCTACGTGACCTAATCAACATTTTCAGTACACTATTGCCAACAACTGCCAAATGGACGTTCCTTTAAAGTACTCATGGAACCTGCGCCATAAAATAAATTCCTAATAAATTTTAGAAAATGAAAATCACACATAGTGTATTCTCTGGTCATGCCAGAATTAAATGACAAAAATATAACAAAAAGATATAGAAAATCTTCCATATTTGAAATTTAAAATATAATAATGATTGAAAGAAAAATCACAAGATAATTAGACAATATTCTGATTTAAAAATGATCAAAGCACAATGTATCACAAGTTGGAGAGCCACTTCTACTTCCATCCCTTGGTTCCCAGATCCAGATATTCTAAATACAGCCCAAATATATAATGGGAGAAACTAGTCACTGTGCAAAACATACACCACATCCTGTAAGATGGCACCCAATGCTTCTAAGACATTGTCTCTCAGATGATCCTTAAAATGAGTCTTGCAGGGCACAGTGGCTCGCGCCTGTAATCCCAGCACTTTGGCAGGCTGAGGTAGGTAGATCACAAGATCAGGAGATCAAGACCATCCTGACCAACATGGTGAAACCCTGTCTCTACTAAAATACAAAATATTAACCAGGTGTGGTGGTGCACGCCTGTAGTCCCAGCTACACAGGAGGCTAAAGCAGGGGAATCACTTGAACCTGGGAGGCAGAGATTGCCATAGGCTGAGATGACAACACTGCACTCCAGCCTGGTGACAGAGTGAGACTCCGTCTCAAAAAAAAAATGAATCTCTATTAGGCCTTGCCAACTTTGTGTAAGGCAGACACTTCTAGATCAGCGTTCCTCAAACTTTTTTTTTAATCCCCCAAATAAACTTTTAAGATTTTTTTTTCTAATCATTGTAATATATATAATTTTCTTTTTTTACCTCTGTCATTCAAAAGATACCAGGTTGGGAAGATAGTAGAAAGGAGAGTTTTATTAGCAATATTGGTTTGCAAGACAGGAAGAGAAAGTCTCCAGCATAGACTAAACATCTTCTGTCTTTGCAGAGGGGAAAGACAGGCTGGGTTTTATGCCTCACAAGGTTTGTACAGTCATAAATATTCAGCAGGTTTTGAGGGAAAGCTATACATATTTATGAGGGGAGCAGAGTGCATGCATGATGGATAAACATCCACGTAACATACAGCCGTGTTCACTTTTGGGCTGGGTTTTAGCATTAACATGAGGTGGAATTTGCCTCTTTACATCAAATGGTGAAGTATAAGATGCACAGAATTTGTGTGTAGCCTTTATAAGCTGCTGAAACTGGCTTCAGGTCTGGAGTAGCTTATTAGAAGAGAATGTTTCTAAGGCTGGTCCCCTGTCATATCAGAGTTGCAGTGGTCTGGGTTGTAAATCAGAATTAGGATAACTTGCCTGAAAGCTCTTATTGTTAAGGAAGTTATTGAGAGAGAAAGAGAGAGAGAGAGAGAGTCTGTGTGTCTGTATGTGTGTCTGTGTGTATTTGTAGAAATTTAGAAATGTGTCATGCCAGTCAGACCCTGAATCCTCCACCCCTAGGTTAACTTTGTTTCCTTAATCTTTAGGTCTGTCCTGGTTGATAAAAAGTCATCTGTTTTGGTTTCTCAGATCACACCCTCTAAAACCAATTTTTGCCTTTTTAGGGGACAATATCTCTCCTGTTGATAATGTATGTTTTATATAATATGGTAAAGAGTAATACTAATACGAGATAATCCCATGGGAATTAGTTCCTTGCCACATTTCTTTAGCCATAAAATGTGTATCCCTTGGTCAGAAGGATATTATATGTTGTATATGATGTCAATATGGTAACTAAGGCATTCTGTAAGTATATAGATAGCCGTGCCTGTGGAAGCACTGAGGACAGAAAAGGCAAATCCAGAATACATGTCTAGTTCAGTTAGAATAGATTGTTGCGTGCTCCAGTTTAGAAAGCATTGATAACCACTCCAGAAATTAACCTTACTACCGCAGTCATAACCTTCATAAGAGGACCAGACTAAACATGTGTTGCATGGGTATCAGCTGGTCTCTTTTCTCAATTACCCCACTACTTTCTCAGTGGACTTCTATACAAAGTGGTTTCAGTAACAGGTATGGAGGTTATGCATGGAATCAATATCAAAGACTAATGATAATCTGGCTGCCACCACTGCCAAGTGCCCAACCAGCAATAGCAAAAGGCTAATGTTCATCCTTCAGCAGAGAAGCATTCTCTTTCTAGAGATCAGTAACCTGCCTGGGAGGAGACTGATTACAGCATTCCCACCCCATGAACACTTGTACCCCATTCCTATTGTCTTCCTTGCCCCCATATGCAAAAGTTGGAGTCTCTTTGATTGACATTTATCTTGAGACCCACAGATTTTTGATTGCCTTTGATTGCACTCTTCATCATGAAAAAGTTCCCAAATATTGAGGCTGACTTTTTAATTCCTGCCCAGAAATCATCACTATTGAAGAAGGAAAGACTAACTTTTACTCTATCTGTATAAAACAAAGAACTTGTTTTCATGTACTTCCAAAACCTCATAAAATGGAATAATATAAATTATAAATGAAGTCAATCCTCCTCCATCTATAATTATTCAGGAATCTAACTGTATATCCAAAATAATAAGTTTTCAAGCAAAAATATATCTATGATTTATAATTATCCTCCTTTTAGGTTTAGGGGGAATTCTTGAGTAATTAATGCTTTTGGAGTCTTAATATCTGTTTTTGAATGCTCAGATCGAAACAAAGTAGAAGAGCAGGACTCAGTCAAATCTAGATTTGGGGACTTAATGATAGTTGGTGAAAACAAGTTAAGTCTGTTTTCCTCCTATGGTCTGAGAATAGGTTAGGCTAGGCCACATTTATACTAGAGTTCTGCCTTTTCTTCCAAGTGATTCAGCTAAACACCATGTAGATTTTCCATTAGGTAATAGAATGTTCTTTCTTAAAATAGCTGTAGCTCAAAAAGCTGTATTTTGTGAGAATGAAGTCAGAGAATTAATAAGGAGATCTGTACAGAGTACCTTGATCAATTTCTGAGGAGAAATGTATAATAAAGGATGGACCAAGGTCACTTTTCCTGATGTCACTCCCTCTGAGAAACAGTCTGACAGAACTGGGCCAACAGAGCCCAAGGGAAATGGGAGTTTGAAGCAATTATCTAAATAATTCAGACAAAAAGGCACACTTGGGCCTTGAAAGTCACCCATATGAGTAGAAGGGGGATCTAAATGTATTGCATCTTGTTAGGAATGTATTAAAGTATCTCTCGGACGCACATACTGATATTGACAAAAAGGAGAAGTTTTATCACTGGAAAAAGTAGGCTCATCTACATTGATCATATTAAATAAATGCTTAGTTTTCTTTCTAGTTTGCCCTATAGATAGTGCCTTTCATCCACATAAGAAGTACCAATAGTGTTCTTACATTCTAGCAATTATACTTTAGTATTTCTAAAATGGTTTCCTCACTAAGTCGCATGACTTTTCATCTGTAAGAAAGAAAAAATCAGTGTAGCTGACATGGATACTAAATAAAGCAGGAATAGAAAAGGAAAGAGCTTTACTCATTTAATTCTGGAAAAGAAAAAGACTTCACAATCTATTAAAAAAAATCATTTTATTCACAGGGTACATTTACAAATTTTCTCCAAGTAAGGGAGGTAGAGAAATTGAGACTTACTGAACCTTCTCACTGCCAGCCATAATTACAATGAACACACCAAAGAAAAAGACATGTTTTTACAGCAAACCTCCTCCTATGACATTGCATTTAGATTCTGTGAAAAGAAACAAGTCAGCAGAACCAAAAGAGATAGATACTAATTTTTCTAGTCACACTGTAGAAAGTACCAATTAAAGTTTTCTTTTTACCTGCAGCATTTTATATGAAACTCTAAGAAAAGAATTGAAGTACACTGATTTTCTCCACACTTTCTGCCAATGGAGGTTGGCTTTAATAGAAAGAAGCAATTCCATATGCTCTTCAAAGGCGATTTTAATTTTATAGTCTAATTTAAAATTTTTTCCCAGAATTATAATACCCATGAACTACTCTAGTCAGATTATATGAGAAAAAATAATGTTTAAATTTTTCTATTCTCCAGCCTCAAAATTTGCTCTTGAGAAACAGCTTGCACACCTGTGTAATAATATTACAATGTGCCATACAGAGTTAAAGAGACCAAAAAGAAACCTTTTTTCCCCAATGCCTTTTAGACCACTATGCTGCATGGCGAATGAAGTTCTAGTAATATTCCAGACTTTTTAAAGATTAAGCAGGCTTTTCGATAGAGCTATGTTTGTTCTCTTCTCTCTAGTGTCCCTATGATGTACCCTAATGGCCATCAATCATCCTAAATTGTGAATCCTGTATATTAATTATAAGGGGAGTATCTGTAGTAACCTATCAACAAGAGAGCCCAATGGTGCTTAAGACTGAATGAAAAACAGTGACAGATTGATTCCCTGCTTCTGGTGTTTGCTGGAAAAACAAACATTAATCCTCTTGCAGTTATCACCTAAGGTTCTACAACTTCAGTAAAGGGTATTTACATACTATTATCAGACTTCTCCAAGGCCTATATGCTATTGTGCAGTTCTATAAAATAGTCACATTTGCTACATTTATAGGACTTCCCAATGATAACGATACAACTTGGAACAGACATGGTTACATCTCTAAAGTGGCAGAGGTACGTGAAGGAAACACATAAGGAAGGAGGGTTCAAGCCAGAAAAAGTTAAGGCACCCTCTGCCACTCCCCACTCTCACTGAATCAGCCATCGCCCTCTTCATCACGGGAGTAAATTATGTTAAGAGCTTACGTGTATGTGTGTGTGTTGTGTACACTAGAACACAAGGTAGGCAATGCATCTAAGTCAGCTGAAGTAATCATGGATACAAAAGCCTGTTACTGAAGTAATTGTGGAGGCAGGGTTAGAACCTCCTGTTCTAACTCTAGCTATGCGAGCCCACTTTCCAAGGGTGAGGGTCAAAGTGACGCTTCCTGCTATCACTGCCTCATGATGACAGGAGATCTAAATAATAATCTTATTTGGGGAATATGTGCTGAGGTGCAGATGAAAGAGGGCTACAAAAACGGGAGTGTTGCTTCACTGCGGTCAAACTCACAGGAGAGCAACCCTCTGAAAGGGACAGCAAGAGACGGAGCCTTGAGACTGTCATGGTCCAAGTGAGTGAACAGGTGCCACTCTAGTCTCTCCCTCAGCCTCTCATGATCTTGCTGTCACACTGCTTCCTCTAGAATCTTCTCTCTCTCTCTCTCTCTCTTTCTCTTTTGTAACCAGGGAAAAGCATGAACATAGTCTCCCACTACCACAAATCATGCAGTCAACTTTCCCACATTTGGGGAGATCACAGGGGTCAGCACATTCGGTGTGCAATGAATAAGCCTCACCCTTGGAAAACCATCCATTATTAACCACAACAGCTGAATGACAAGGTATTTCCTATATTTCAAAAAGGTTCCATTCTTGAGACTGCACTCAAGGTCAACAGCCTCTTTCTTGCTTCCTGCCGAACTCTCTTCTGAGATCACTCCCAATCATCCTTTCTAATTAAAACCAAGATCTTGTCTCTCTTTTGTTTTCATTTTGGTTAAACTTCTTTTTTTTTTTTTTTTTTTTTGCAATTTTCTGTTTCACTTACTGTGCAGATAAAATAGACATTATCTGATTCTTAGTTTTTCTGCCTTGGATTAAATCACATCTCTTGGATGTGTATTGATATTGTGTGAAGCATACATTTTAAAAATAAACAGCTAGAGAAAATCTAATTACACAGAAGCAGAACGAGGCAGGATCAATATATTTGGATATTATTCTCTAAAATTCTCAGACAGCTTGGCATCATTGATTAAACTCACAGCTTCAATAGAAAAAAAAATCAGAAAGAATTTTAGCACAATGTAGAGATCAATAGAAACACAGAGGGGTGACCATAAAATATAATTTCTCTTCTGTGCTTTAAAAAGTATAGTCATGGGCTTTGACTATCTGGCAAACGCCCGCAAGTATATAAGTCAATTTATAATATGGTATTTATTCCTTATGTATTAGAGACAGAAGAAATCAGAAATGTTGGCACCAGAAAAAAACAAATTAGAAGGAAACAGAAACATGTATTTTTCCCTTATTGAAATGATGAGCAGAGGCTGTGTTATGTTTGAATAAGCTTTTCATTCATGCACTTGTTTCAATCTCTCACCCCTAAAATGTATGTAAAAAATTCAAAAGACAAGTCTGGGCTGAGGGTAAAGCAGATGGTATCCATTTTCTTACGATAGAGAGGAAAAAAGCTACAGCGATTATGGATTCAAGTCTCCTTCCACTTGCAAAATAGAAATTTTATAGTGCTCAACCTAAATATTGTGGCCTCATATTTAGGAGTTTATAAACAGACGCTCCGGGCTTCAGACTTCCTGTGAGTTAGTCTCTAGGGCTTTTAAAGAAGCTATGTAGGAACTGGTGGACTATTTGATATCTCCCTAGCTTCAAGGACTCAGACTATCCATATGAATGAGGGGGAAAGTTCCACTTTAGAATCACTGGCAGGGCTATAACTAGGTCAGGGTGATTAGACTCTGCCACAAGACACTCAAATTTAGACAGCATGAGTTTAAGCAAAAACAAGAGTTTAAGGCAGTGTAAAATTTTGAGCTCCTCAGCAAATTTCCACACTACCTCTCTAGTCGCAATGCTACTAGCTCAACTCTGGAGCCAAGGCAGCTCTCCTGGGAGAGGACAGAGACCGACGGTGCTAAAAAGCCAAGGTTAAGGGTAGAAACGACTCTGGCCTTTTATACCCTGAGACTGTGGAGATAGGGTCATCTCCTTTCAACTTGCCTCTCCTTCCTCCTAGCACATAGTGGAATGGGGCTGCTAGTTACATTTACTGCTGCCTTTATTAGAGGCTTTGACCTAGGTTGCAAGTACCTTGAAATTGTTAGCCCACTTCTACCACTTCCACCCCCGATGTGTGCACAAACTAAAGTCATATACCTGAGAGTCCACCTATACGCAGGGAAGATAAAGAGAGAAAAAGCATAGTATTACTCAATCCTTACTCCTCCACAAGCTTGTCCTCAAGTTCACATAAATGTCCTTACAGCTCTTGATCTTTGGAATTCTACAAACATAGAGCATATATTATCCGGTGCTGGTGAGAAAGTATTTATACAACGCAATGAACATTTCCTAAAGTTTTCAGTGGACTGGTAACATTCCCCTCCTCCTAACAAGGATGTGTCAGTGAAAATGTTCACAAAGTCAATATTTCAAATATAGAAACTAAAACTCTGGATTCCTGACTTTCTATTAATAATCAAAAATTATATATGATAAAGTTATAAAACTGGAATAGATAGCTGCTGACGAAAAGAAATGTTATCAATATTGTTTCCATTTTTGATCATCTATAACACTTTTGTAAAGCCTTTGACTAATCCAAGAATATATTTGGCAAATTTAAAATCCCAGGATTTTTTTCAGTTATTTTCCATTTTAAGCCATGTTGTCCAGATTGCTTCAGGTACAAGTTACATATAGCCTAAATATTTTTTTTAGCCAAGAGAAAGACATGAGACATCACAAAGCCAAACACAGTACTGTCTGAGCATGTGTCCTTTGGAATCATTTACTTCCTACTTTTGTTAAGACAGATAAAAGTGAACTGTACAGAAACAAAATCCAAGGAGCACTTCCTTAACTTCTTGTATGAGAAGTATGCAGTTTAGATGCACAATTTTGTATAACTTTTGGCAAAATACTCTATATAAAGCATATGTGTCTGTGAATCATTGTCCATATAAAAATCTTTCACATAAACATTACTTTTCTTAGTTATGGAATGACTTAATCCTTCACCTATCTTAATTTTACTGAAGTGTGATTAAAATTAAGCAGAGGCCATCCTTAGTCATGATCTTTGGAATCAATGCAGTTCCCAAAGTGAGGCTAACAAAAAACCGAAATCCTGTCAGGGTACTAACTTTTAGCCTCCCCACCCTTCCTTTTGTCCCCATGGAGCAACCTAATATTACTCACTACACAATTTTTTTTAATTAGTCTGATGGTACAAAGTGATGGCCGCTCTTGGCAGGCGCAAAATCAAAAGTGATTAAGTGATTAAAGATTTTCTTATTGAATGTCTTCTGAGCTGAATCTTAAGGGTCAGTCATATCAAAATATAACTGACCAAATGTGGAAAAGTATCAGGCCCAATTCTGAAGGTCTTAATTTCAGAAAAACAAAGTAAAATAATGGGAGCTTATAATTGAAAGTCTTAACAATAACAGAGTATTCCAAAGCAGTCAACAGGATGATTCTAGCGAGGTCTTTACTTAGGAACACATAGCACAGTAAGGATAGCGATGCCTAACTTTGTACCCCACCCCCCCCCACACACACGCACATATACTTCTATCTAACCAACCACAGCAAAAGGCATATATGTATGGCGCACCTATGAGTTGTAATCTACCGTAAGAAAACATTCTCATTAAATTTTAGTCATACTTTGAATGCTGTGAGCATGTATGTTTACCTTTAAGTGAAGACAAAGCAGAACAATCAAAATTTCATTCTGGGCTAATCCAGGGTGTCTCAACCTTGGTACTACTGACATTTCAGCCAGGATAATTGTTTTGTTGTGAGAGGCTGACTTGTGCATTACAAGTTACTTAGCAGGATCCCTAACCTCTACTAATTACATGCTGTTAGCGCCCTCGAGTCATGAAAATAAATAATGTCTCCAGTCTCCAGACATTGCCAAATGTGAGCAGAGAGCGATAAGGAATCACCCCACCTGAGAAGAACTGGTCTGATCAAGCATCACCAGCACCGGCCATGTCTGTTTTGCCTTTCAGAAGCCACATGAAATAGTTTTACAAGTTTGTAAACTAAATGTTATAAGTAAATCTACTGCATAAATCTATCCCAGGCATCATAACAAGATGCAAAATTTTCACATAATATTTTCTTTCTTTTTTCTTTTTTTGAGACAGAGTCTTGCCCTGTCATCCAGGCTGAAGTGCAATGTCGTGATCTTGGCTCACGGCAATCTCCACTTTCCGAGTTTAAGAGATTCTGGTCCAGATAATATTTGTAATGAAACTGTGATGTATAGGCTTTGTGGAGCTCATTAAATACATTTTAACAATTAAAGAACTAATCTGAGTAACACATACATTATTATTATATGTGTTTTTTATTAAGCCTTTTACATTTTTAATGGTATACTAGTAAAAATGGATTCTTCTTTTAGGTAACTACTAAATAATAATAGCTCAAAAGAGGACGCATATTCAGTTTCACTCAAAGTGAATATTTAACAGTTTCTTCATGATACATTCTCATTACATTTTTGCTGCCATAGAGCAAACCAGTTCTCCAATAGAATTGATACTCAACTTCTTAACTTTCTAAGTAGCCACATAATCTGCATTATCAACAAGTCATATTTTAAACACTAATTTTTATAATAACCTCAATATTTAATTTCATTTAGAAATGGCCTACTTTAATTATGTAAAATTTTGCCAAGGACTTTGTTAGGTTGATGTCATGTTAAATTAACCCACCAAAAATACCACTCACTATTATTTTACATGGTGACACGGTATGCTAAGTTTCTACTGTTAAAATTAAACTAGAGCTTTTTTCTACAATTTACCTACAGTTTAGTGACATTAAAAATAATAAAGAAATTAAGTTCTAGTGTCTCATTTTAGCGTAAGACATTCCAAAGCATGAAGACAATGAGAGGCTTTCTTTACCTTTCTCTGAAATGTAAACACGTTTGGCTACTTGTAATCTGTCAGGGTTTTTGTTTTGTTTTGTTTTGTTTTTGCTGTGTATCAAAGCTGGTGTAACAAGCTGTCTAAGTAGTCCCACCTGCTACTAAGGAAATAAATAGCTACTAATTCACATCTCTTGACTTGTACAAACTATACCTTTTGTGACCATGCTCAACACCAGGCCCATTCATGAGATTTTAGGTAAAATCAGGATGAGTAAGACAATTCTGCTTATTCCGGGTAAGCATTTGGGGGTAAGACTCGCATCTCATGCTGCTATGGGAATATGTACAGCAGCCAGTGAGCTCAGTTGTCTTACAGCAGCATGTAATGGACAGCACGTAACACATTTGTGACTCTCCAACACTGGTTACAAATTTTTGCCATACCAGATTGTATGAGTTCAGCTTTCATAGTTGCACAGTAACGAGCTTTGCTTAACTTTGTATGTGTGTATGTATGTGTGTCTACATGTATGTATATGTGCATTCTTGCACATATGCATACATGTGCTTTATCTTGCAGTGAATATGCCATGGTAGATAGAAAAGGGATTTGTCTTCTGGTCTGTCTTCCGCAGAGACTAAGCTTTTCATTATTGTGCTTTACTGCTTTTCTGGGCATTAAATTATGAAGACAATTATGCCAATTTACAAATAAATAATGCACTCATACTGGTAGTCTTTTGCGCTAAAATAAAAATGACAATGCAAACAGGCTTACATAATGCAGACCTAAAATTGGGTTTATGTCCTAAATTCTGAGGAAGAAAAGTGGCTCCTGTTATCCAGACTATGAATCAACACAGTCTAAATTCAACAATGCTTCACATTGTCTATGTAAACTTGACAAAAGAGGAAGAAGCAATTCTTACGCAAAATTTTAAAAATGGAAGGGAGCTACAGATAATGTCGACGTAGCTCAACAAATCACAATTACCAGGAATAACATTTTGTATCTTTATTACTCAGGAAGGGATGTTTTTATATCTACCCACCCATTTCCCCTAAAGAGGGCAAAAATAAATAATAATTTTTTAAAAAAACCTACGGTTCTAAAACCAGTCTTAAAAAGACAGGTTCTTATTACCATTATTAAGCCAGTTTGTGTTGACAATCAGCAATACTTTTACCACAACGTTTTCTTTATTCTACCCTGATTAGTTCCTCAGCCCTAACAACTCGAGTCTGTCTTGTTTTTGAACCGCATCTTCTAGATTTGAACCATGTGCTTTACCAACAGCATTTCACCAGCATTTTACTAGTTGCAAATCTACCATGTGCTATAAAATATTTCATAGGCTGTTCATTTCTTATTTGTTTTCCAAGCCAACACTGAAAGTAAAGTTTTGCTTGGGTCTTCATTGTTCCTCTCCTGTTTTTCCAAGTGGCCCGTGCAAACCCATGAAACAACTTAGCCACTCCCTCTTGGAGTCACATAGAAAACCTAACAAAAATACCCTGGTTCAGTCCTTTCTCCTTCCGATGTCCCTAGGAAGTGGGCTGGAGTAAGGTGTCCTCACATGGGTCCAGCTGCATTCTCAGTGCACCGATTTTATGAAGATACCAGAGTTGGAGAAACTCCTCGGGCATGGCATGGAAGCCAGAAAAGGGTAAGACGTTATCATAGTAGTGGTGGCTGATGGGCTGCTCATGCATATTCACAGAGAAGGGCCAGAAGCCGTAGATGGCCACCTCTTCACAGAGACCCAGAGCTGCGCTCACCAGAAAAAGTCCTGTAGACAGGCGCTTGGCATGGATTCCTCTACTTTTCCAGAACTTTCCAATGCTACGCAGAAAGTTGGGGTTGGCAAACAGCACTGTTTGATTGGCACCAACATCTGACAGTGTATAATAAACTCGCAAAGATGGCTCTGTTCCTGTTTTCATAGAAAAGGCAGGCATGTAGATGTAACTGTGGTTATAGATTTTCATGTTGTCCACAAACGTTTTTCTGGACCACAGCAGGTTCTGAAACCTATCAAAGAGAAAAAGTGGTTCAATTAAACCTAGAGAAAAAGAAACTCACTAAAATCCACTCTGTTGTCTTCTGATGCCCCTGATAGTTCAAATCTTCTCAGTGAAACATATGAAAAACACTTTATTTGTATTTAAAATCCTCCTTGAACTTATCAATGATCTCCCAACAAGTATCCTGGCTTTTTCCCTGACCCCAGCTTCTTAAAAGCAGTTAATATTCATTAATGGGGTTCCCTCTGAACTAAAATGCATTATAAATTTGTTCTCTTCAGGAATGTTTTTGCCTGAAATGTAAAATGGTTTAATTCTCATAAATTCACAAAGGTTGTTGGCTGAGATTTGGGGTTGAGGCTGTTAGGTGGTCTAACATAAGCACAGGACTGGTTTCTCCATCTGCAAATCAAAGTAATCACTTCTGAGATAACTCTCCCTATTGAAATTCTATGATTCCATAAGAATTCAGATTCGTTAGTGCTGCAACTATAAAATTACAGGGAAAAAGGAGAGCTTGTTACTATTATGAAAGGATGAAGGGAGTTGCCCATATTGCTTGCTCCAAAGAACTCTACTTTCCCGTGTTCTTTCAGTTTGGATTACATGAAATTCAAGTGCAGTTGTAGAAACAAAGATACAAATAAATACAATATAATTGTTCTAAATACGCTGTTGATATTTGTATAAAGTACTATGGAACACAGGTGAAAAAAATAATTCTGCCTTGAAAGAGGGAGTGTGGTCCAAGAAAGCAAGAGAGTAGAAATAACATTTAAATACATTTCTTATACAGAAACATCAGAAAGAACAGCAACAAAACTCAAAGGGACACTTTGGTTATAGGCAAGAGTGCACAGCATACTGAGGCAATGACAAGGATTCCCTGCCCCTAGAATGTGGGAGGTGCTAATGGCGGGGGCAGTGGCTGAAGACAAGGCACTCTTCTTCGAAAAACCTCTTATGTCTATCTTGTTTGTTTGAACATTACCCTGTGGCAACGGGAAACCTTCACAGCAGTGACTATTTACAGCACTCATGACAGCTGTCAGTCTCTGTTAAAAAAAGGTACTCTAGTAGAATAGCAGATAGCCTTGGAAGAAAGAGGCTGGTAGCCTGGAGACCAGGTAAGAGGCTGCTAATATACTGAAGTAAAAAAAGAGGGACAGACAGAGAGGGAAGGAGAAATAAGGGAGAAGAGAGAAAGATAGGAAAAGGCAACGAACTAGACTAGGGCTTTGCAACTTTTAATTCCTTTCATAAGGGAAGCTACCCATCTTGGGTTATGTGCAGGTGGAGCAGCAGCATCAAAGAATGAACTGAGCCACAACTAGCAGAGAAAAGTCTGGCCTGACATGTTGGCAGGCTCATCATAATTATGTGAAATTAAAGTTCTGAATACACAAATCCACAGGATTGTACATAACAATCAGTGTTATTTTCTCTGCCTGCACAGAAAGGTATGTTTCTCAAGGCCAGAAGGAAGGGAAATGTCTCAAGTTTTCTTCATGTCCTGATCCAGTAGCCTGCTTCATCAATTTTCCGTGGGCTCTGACAGAGAAGTAATAACAGGGTCTTTAGGTAGAATCACTTTAACTTAGAAGAAGCCGTAGAAGCACATTCAACCATACAGTATCTGGAGCTGGGCCAGCCCCTCCAATACAAATTCCTGCTTCCCAACTTCCAAGTGGGCTCTGCTCAGCAACTATTTTCTTTTTTCCATTGCCCACCCATATCTTCCACCGTCTTCCTAAAACACCAGTGCTTTCCCAATCATATAGACACACTGTGCAGATAACCTCCTATTCCATTTCAGCCATTGGTTCTCACACTTTAGTTAGAGTAACCCAGAGACTTCACTAATATCATAGCTTCCTGGGTTCTGATAAGAATTATCCAGGGGCTGAATTTTAACCCAGCACTCCTAGGTAATTTTGATACAGGTGGGACATAGTTATTTAGAAGATCAAAGCATTAGTGTAAGCTGTCTATCTTTCTGCATCCATCCCTCACCACCTTTTTCCTTACATCTTCTGATGTTATCCCTGCTGCCACTCTAAGAAGTGCTCCATCTTCCCCTTTGTATCTTGAGACAAACTGTTTCACATTTCCTAAAGAATTCATGTTCTAAAGTGGGTCTCTCCTCTTTAAAAAACAAACAAACAAACAAATAAAAACTTCGACCTCTCCATCTCTACTGAATTATTTCCTCTGTCTTCTAAATATGGTTAGAACTTTTCCCTTTAGCTTTACTAAGGTATATTTTACCAATAAAAATCATGTATATTTAAGGCACGCAATGTGATGTTTTGATATACACATACATTATGAAATGATTATAACAAGTAGGTTAGAACTTTAAAAAACTCTTCTTAATATGCCCACACTGTTCCCAGTGCTACATTCTCATTCTCTCATTTCACCATCAACCTTCTAGAGCACTTAGGATACCTCTATGGCTTTCCTTGCTTGCTTCCATTCCCTCCTTATTCCTGTACAGAATGGCTCCCATTTCACAGGGCTCTCCTGGCTGCTGAAACATCCCTGTCTCTGCAGTGGACTACATACTAGTGGAGAATTATACCATTTATTAAGTGATCTCAGCTGTTGTTGTAGCTGCTGTGTGTCAGCCTGTTCTTAAAACATAAAATGCTCTTCCAATTCCTCTTGTCCAGGACAGAAGGATCTTCTAGGTAGCACGCCAACAGAACAAGAGACTTCGATGACGCCAGCTTCAATGATGGTGCCACCCAGACAGGGAGAGGGGCATGGCACATTCAACTGCGGCTTCCAGAGGTTTTGAAAAAGGAGGCTTTGGGGGCCCAGCTTCAATAAAGTCAGGATGATTAATTTTGTGTTTTCTGTCTTAAAGCCAACTGATTAGTCTTGAAGGGAGTAGTTTTCCCTCTCTTATTTTTCACTTTGAAAAGGAACACACAGCTTGAATTTACTATAGCCCTAATTTTATTGACACTTATTATTTTTACCTCTCCCATTCTGCAACAAATGACATTATTATTTAATAACTTGATACAAGTCAATAATTGTTATGGCATACCAAAGATGTTTAATATTATCCTGATCAAGAGTTTCATGGGGTTGGTATTGAATTTTATTATATCATTACAAAATTCAACTGGAATTAGAAAAGACGGGTGTTCCAGTTTGTCTCTCCAGCTTCATACTTAGCTACTCCTCATGTCCTCACCCTATGATCCAGCCATCCCTGTGTGAGTATCTGCCCACAATTTTTATTGCATAAATAGATTCATTTTTCCTGACCTAGTCATCGCCCGGGTGAAGCTGTGCCTATAAATCAAGACCCAAGTTAAGCTTTTCTTTATTAACCTTATTCCTTCCTTCCAACTTAAGCTTTCAAAAGTCTTCTTTGAATTCCTGAATAATAATTGCTCATAGTCTCCAAGACTATGTACCTCTTGAAAATGAGAGACACGTCCCATTCATCCTTTAATTTTTATAACCTCGCTTAGAATATTTGTGTACTATATGAATAGAAAACTATTAAATTTTAATTTAAAAAAATAAAAAGAAATCAGACCAGCCTATGAATTAAGAATAAAAATGAAATCAGATCAGCCCATAAATTATTAAAATATAAATGATTAATTTATAATCAATATGGGCATAAAAGGAAAAACAAAAACAGAATGGAAAGCACAAAAATATATCACATTTTACAAAGGAATTGAATATGTGATAATGCAGACAAAACCAGTAAAATTTTTTAAATTACTTAATAAGCAATGTTGAGATAGCTAACAATTTGAAAATCCAAGAGGGAATAGATTCATACTTCACGTGACAATTCCTAAATAATTTCATGATAAGTAAGATAAATATTTAAAATCTAGCCAGCACAGTGGCTCAAGCCTACAATCGTAGCACTGTGGGAGGTCGAGGTGGGAGGATCACTTGAGGCCAGGAGTTTGAGGCCAGCCTGGGCAACACAGCAAGACCCTCATCTCAATAAATAAATAAATAAATAAAATTTCTTTTACCAAAAAATCTCTAAAAAAAATCATGGAACTTATCAGACATTTGTAAAATATATTCCGGCAAAGGAAAATATTGACAAAATTGATTATGTCATGATGTAAAATTTCATTACCATGAAGAATAAGGTAACTAAAATAAAAAGGAATTATTCCAAAAAATATTTACGGTAAATATGACAAACATAAATTCATATCAATAAACTCAAGTCTAAATATATTGATCCATTGATATGAAAATGGACAATTAATCTAGAAGTAATTTCTATTAAAAATGTTAAAGTGTTCAGTTACAGTTGCAAGGTGCAAACTGAATACAAAGAGGAATATTAATAGAATAGAAAGAAACAGAATAAAGGGTAAGGGTCCAGCTCTCACCTCCTATGAACAATCTCTAGAAATAGGAGAAAATAGGTTTAAAAAAAATCCATTCTGAAAATAAAATAGAAAGCAAACCCTCAGTGGATGCTGAATCTAGGTTATCTCAAAAAAACAGAAAGTTTACCAAAGGAAACCAGAGCATGAAGTAGCTTATTGAGAATTCCTCTAAAAGGCAGCAATAGCAGTGCCCTATGCCTGGAGGCAGGAGAAACTAGGGAATGTGGTGTCTAATAGCAATCAGCAAGGTTATGGTTCAGATTATGGGGTAGCAGAGAAACCCAGGTGGACTGAACTCTAAAATCCTGCACCAATCAATTATCACTGTGTATATGGAAGGAGGTGTCAGTTTCCAGGCAGGAACAGTGGGTATGTATCCAGAGAGCTGGCTCAGCCCAGGGAAATGGAATTCTCAACTCACAATATCAGCAGTCAGGCTTATAGTTCCCAAGTGGAATACTGACACTGAATAGGCCAAGGAGAAGACCTACAACCAGTGACATTTGGGAACTGCCCAAGAGAAAGCAATGTTGCCACCTTCTCGACCCACACCACAGTGAAGCCCACCTGTTGATAGGTGCAGTCTCTGCACAGAGCTTCTAGTCACCAAACAAGA